CAGCAGCCAGAAGAAGGGAGTACCTCAGGTGTCCATCAACAGGCGGGTGCATAGAGGCATGCAGACACAACCTAAGAGCCTGCAGGTTTTGAAACTAAGGAAATCTTGTCCTACGGCACATGGATGGAGCTTGAGGGCATTGTGCCAGGGACAGGATTGCACTTACAGGAAGGATACAAAAACAGCCAAACAGCCGGCCCCTTCCTCCCCTCCCCCTTCCCTCCCGAGAGCCTACACTGCACAGGAATCAGGAACAGAGGAAGGCATCCTTTCCTTCTACCACACTTCCTGTTGTTCACGGTTTATTTACTGGATAAACGTTTGTCCAGGATCTATTGTCTGCTAAGCCCCAGGGTTGGGCCAACAGTGGTAGGGAAGGCAGAATGCTGCCCTCCAGTCACCTACTTCCTTAATCAACAAAGTGACTTCCGGAAGTGCAGCTGTCATGCTGAGGAGAAACATATCTGCCCGGAACAAGGAAGACTTGACGTGAGAAATACCAAGCCAGGAACAATGTTAACTCTGAAGGAGGAAACACATAGGAAGCCCAGAGACAGAGGACAGTTCACCATGTCTAAGGAATAAAGACCAGCATGGCTCGAGGAGAGGCATGGGAGCAGCCGGAGATGTGGCCTTAACAGACCTCCCTGGCCATTGTATGTGAAGGGAAAATGTCCGTAATGTAACGGATTATCCTGTGAGAAAATGTCAGCTCTGAACAGCAGGACTTCAGGGAAGGATAGGCTCAGACAGCCCCAGGGTCTCACTCCAGGTTTGTCTTGTGCCTCCTGTGAGCCCTCATCCAAGGGTTCTCAGAGTTGGGCATGCACTTGGACCACCTAGTCATATATAACAGACTCCTGGGCTGCCCCAGTTTGAGCAGGTAGATCTGGGCAGGGCCCGGAATTTGCACGTCACACTCATACCAATACGCTGCTGATACCAACAGTCCTCCACCACACAGAAGATGACGCTGGCAGCAAGTCTGAGATCCTTCCAGAATGTCTCTTCTGTAAAGGTGTCCTTCTGTCCTGGTGGGCATGGTTATCAAACGAGAGGAAATATATCTGGGAAAGTTGTGTATGGATGGGGGCGGGAGCACGATCTTCCTGCGTAGTTCTGGCTGGTCTTGAACTCACTATGTAGTCAAGGCTGGCCTCACAGACTGCAGGAATCCTCCAGCTTTTGCTTACTGAGAGCTGGGATCACAGGCATGTGCCACTACACCCGCCGGGAAAGCCTTTCATGAAAGGAAAAAGACAAAACACATGGACTCACCACCTTCGCAATGCGCCCCTCCATCTGCTTCCTTCATGGGTTATAAGAATTGCTCTCATTTAAGAGCAGCAGCTGGCGGCTTAGGAACAATGGCGATTTTATGTCACTTATCCTAACTCCAACTCTTTGTGAACAGTGAGCAGCTACTAACCCACAAGGCTGCCCTGCTCTGGAGAAGCATTTTCTTACAACCACCTCTATTGCCCTCTTCACCAGTAGAGCTCCATGCCGCCTGTGAGGACCCACGGTTATTTTTGTCAACCATTTCATCCCACTTCTCCCAAGTGAGAAGGCATGTGACGGTTGCTCAGCTGGTATCTTGCCATTCAGGAGGGGAGTATTAAGATTCCCTTGTGCTCGGTTGGAAAAACAACACAAATCCGTAAGCTGCTCGACATTCAAGAATCTAGAATGTACATCTATGATAAACGCTTAGTAGGTGTATGTCTGTTTATATTCACAAATTCAGTAAATATTTGGGGACTATGTACCAGACACTGTTTTAGGTTCTACAGACACAGCAGTGTGCAAAACCACAAAGCCCTCCCTTCTGTGGGTTTTGTGTGTGTTCCAGTCTTGGAACACACAGCAGCACCCCCTCTTCAAGGCTTTTCCTCCCATAGTCTCAGTTACCTAGTGTTGACTACAGTCCAAAAAAGTATTAAAGGGAAAAGTCTAGAAACAGTGGATGTGTTTTAAACTGCACGCTGTTCTAAACGTCATGAAATCTAGTGCTGGTGTCAGGTGAGTTATCTCTTTGTCTGGAGTATCCACGCAGTATATGCTCCCCTCTGGTAATCTCTTAATGGCTGTCTGGGTTAGCAGACAGAAACACACACACACATTATCTAACAGATTCAGTACTTTGCAGACATCTACTCTAGGTCCTGGATGTGTTCCCAGTGGAGAAGGAGCAGTGATTTCTGAATGTGTACTTGTGGGTCAGATGTTGGCAGAGGAGACAGCCATGCAACCAAATAGGTGAAATTAAGTATTACAGGGATTTGGTGGAGGTGAATATGGGTTGGGGTACGATGAAGCATGAAGGAAAAGAGTCCTAAGCAGGCGAGCCAATTAGGTACTCAACTGTGGGTGTCAGTTTCCAGGTTCACTAAGGGGAAGCTGTTGTGGATTGAAACTAAACTCCACAAAATTCATATGTTTAGGTGTCCTAACGTGACCTTTCTCCATTCCCCATTTCTTTGGACTTTGGAAGTCTAGGTCATATTTGTCCCACTAGTTCATTTTGGAAGCATGTAATGCATGGTCTAGTTTCATAGTTGGAGAGAAACTTTCACTTAGGAAGATCCATACTTGGAGTTTATCCAACACACGATTTAGGTGATCTATTGGGAGTTTATCCAACACACGATTTAGGTGAGCTATTGGGAGTTTATCCAACACACGACTTAGGTGAGATATTGGACTTACAGCTGATGCAGGAAAGAAGATATCTGTGGTTGTGAGAATGGGCTGAATATATTTGCCTATGAGAATTACATTTTGGGAGGTCAGGAGGAGGCATGTTACAGGCTGAGCAGAGGTGCCCCAAAAGTTACACGTTGCTGTCCAATCCCTAGGACCTACCTAAGATTATGAGTGTCTTTAAGGACATAATTATGCTAAAACGAGGTCACTGGTAAGGATGGGAACCTTATGAAGAGGACAACAGGACACAAATACTCAATGGGAGGTCTATGTGAAGACAAAGGAGAAAACATCCTCCTACAACTCAACCAGAGAATCCTTGGAGGAAGGACCAAAGTCAACTCCTTGATCTTGACTCCTAGCCTCCAGAATTATTGAAAACTAATTTTCATTTCCTGTCATCCAGGCTGTGGCACTTTATCATAGCACTAATAAACCAGGAAAATGTTCTAGTTTCATTTCTGTTGGCATGAGAAAACTTCCTGACAAAAAGCAACTAAGGAGAGAAAGGATTTGGCTGACAATTTGGTTAGAGCCCATTGCAACAGAGCGGAAGTTAAGGACCATCACATCACATCCGTCAGAAACAGAAATAAGTATACCCATGTCGCCTGCTTCCTCTCATCTACTCTCCTGTCCTGTCATTCGGGACCCCTGCCTAGGAAATGGTGCCACCTATAGAGGGCTCTCTTCCTGATCAGAGAACAGTCCAGTCAATCCCCCACAGACAGATCTGATAAAGGCCATTATTCAAGTGCAGTTTTCTCCCCGGGTGTTTCTAATTCGTGGCAAGCTGACATTTAAAACAAACCATCACAAGAGGCCTTCTGTGGAAAGGAAGCAGCCCGGCACAGCTGGGTACACCGAGCATCTGCAAGTGTCCGGAGGACATGGAGAATACCGTGCATGGGATGGAGAGGAGGCTGGAGAAGTGGGAAAGAGTTTGGCTGTGAAGGAACTCCAATGATGAGGATTTGGGCTTAATTTTTATTCATGGTTTCCAGGTGTTGGAAGGCTGAAGTCAAGAGTATTACGACAGTGCTGTGCAACAGAAGACCATTCTAGATGGGAAAAGGTAGTAATTAAAAGGACTGTACAGCTAAGGGAAATGGGATTATACTTACAACATAGGTTATGTCTATGAGATGTTAAGTGATACAGCCTTGTACTAAAGCAAGGATTGCCTGGGTGGAGGGGCAGAGTCCCATTGAGATGCAGAGAATGTAGACCTGATAGGTCTTGGCTCCCCTTTAAAATCCTGGGGGAAGGGAAACAAGACACAAGTGGGGGAGGGGAAAACACTACTTCCATTCCGCACAAATGGAGTCAGAGGCGGATGTGTGTTGCCAAAGGACAGGAATGTGCACCAACTAAACAGTCAAGGGCCAGCCAACAGGGCAACTGAGCCCAACAGTGTTAATTTTGTGGTCTGAATAAGAATGCCCCTTATGCTTGTAAGTGTGTCTACTTGATTCCCAGTAAAACCATTTGGAAAGGAGTAGGAGGTGTGGCCTTGATGGAGGTGTGTCACTAGCAGTAGCTTTGAGTTTTGAAAGATTTGCACCATTCTCAGTGTGTGTGTGTGTGTGCCTTCTACTTGTCAATCATGACGTTAACTCTCAGCAGTTCAATGACGCCATGCCTCTGCTCTGCCACCATGGACTCCAACCCTCTGAAACCGTAAGTCCAATTAAAGGCTTCTTCTAAGTTGTCTTGGCCATGGTGTTCTAGAATGGGGAGATGGCCATGGACAGGTCAGAAGGACCATATGGCATTCGGAGGAGGAAGAAAATCTCTGGAGAGGCGATGTCAAAGGAAGAAGGTACCAAATACAGGTTTTCCATTACTGCATCATAGAAGCCAAGGGCAGAAAATTCCAGACAGGAAGGAGCAGCAACAGTGGTAAATGCTGCAGACCAACCAACATGGGGTATTGAAAATTGGGGTTCCCAGAATAAATTGAGCCTTTCTTGATAAATATGTCAACTTGAAAATAAGTCAAGTATGGTGGTGCAGACCTTTAATCCCAGTACTTGAGGCAGAGGCAGAGGCAGAGGCAGGCGGATCTCTGTGAGTTTAAGACCAACCTGATATATATAGATAGATAGAGAGAGAGAGAGAGAGAGTTCCAGGTTAGTCTTTCTTCTCTCTGCTTTGCCTGTCTGTGTTTCTGTCTCTGTCTCTCTCTCTCTCTCACACACACACCTTCCCCCTCCAACATACCACAAGCAAGGGCACATCAAGTACTATAATGGGCATGAGGGACACCACAAGGAACCAAGACGAACAGGATCTGGCCCTCAGGGAGGTGACGTTCTTATAGACGTAGAGTATAAGGAGAGTAAACAAACCAAGCACAGACACAACCAGTTGCTAGCCAAAAATTGGGGGGGGGGATTCCATCTGTACTGAACATATGCAGATGTTTCCTTATCCTTATTCCCTAAACAACGCAGTATGACAACTCTTTACAGAATTTACATGGCATTAGCTATTACATGTAATCTAGCGATGACTAAAAGTATTGGGAGGGTAGGCACAGGTTATAAACAAACACTATGTCATTTTCTAAAAACAAACTTCTTGAGCACTGGAGGATTTTGGTTCCCGTCGACGGCTGTAGACTCTGTGCTCTGTAGACACCAGGGGACAGTTTTACACAAACACGTACCCCTTGTTGAGTCTTGTCCTCGGACAAACCCTAACACGGTTGCAGATGCCAGAGTCTCATATGGAACCACAAGCACAAAAGAGTGGGAGGTTAGCCAGACCATAGCAAGTGACACATGGAACCGGCCACAGGGAAGGCTGCGCCGGCGGGGGCTAGGTTCGCTCCACCTCTCATCCCCACTGTTCCGGGAATGCTGGCTTTCTTCTCTCCTTCACAGTTAGGCCTCTTCACACAGCATGGAAGTTCATCATCTTGGAGCTTATGGCTCCCAGAGCCTCCAGCTCATCAGTCTGAGAGCCTAAAAGAAGCCTGTGGTGAGAGTCGTAATGAAGTACTGGACAGCACACTGTGAGAACCTACAGGTCCCTCAAGACTGAAGTCAGCAGGCACAGTCCAGGAGAGCCCAGTGCAAGTCTGAGAGCCAGCAGGTTCAACATGCAAGAAGGGCTGAGATTTGGGTTTAGAGGACAGAGCCAGAGGAAGATCAATGTCTCAGCTCAAGCATGCAGGAGCATGTCTTCCTCACTGAGCCTTCGTGTTCCACTCAGCCCCTTGACTGGGGTAGGTCCACCTGCATTATTGAGGGCACTCTGCTTTCCTTGAGCTGAGACTCAAATGTTCACCTCACCCCAGATCACCTCACAGTTGGTCAGCTTCCCACAGCTGTCACAGGATACCTAAGAGAAATAGCTTTTTGATTTTTGTTTCCTTTTTGGTTACAGTTTTTTAAACTAAGTGTGAAATATCAATAAAATACTGATGTGTAGGGGGTATTTTACATTCCAAATCCCAGTTCTTATGTCTGCTCCTGTCCAATTCACTTGATGTGTAAAAAGCTGAACAGCGCAGTGATCTGAACTTCAAAACTTCAACAGTATGTCAGAAGACGATGCGCTGACGTTTGAAGACCGTGTTGTATCCGAAGGCTGGGACAGTCCACGGCCGTGACGACGAAACACATAAAAAGACGGGCGACTCCTTAAGGCGTCAAACGTCTTACTCCTTAGTTCTGAAGTGGCATCCCTGTCCTTAAACTCCCCCGCCGTGTGAACTACACCGTAACAGGTAACCGCAAAGGCCAACAGCGTCTGCAGAACTATATCTGCCGGCAGCGACTCATACCCCTCTTCTGTTAGTCGCGCGTGAGAATGATGCTGAGCAGCCGAAAAGGCAGCATGGGCCAGAGCGAAGAGGCCAACGCCTACCAGCCCCTTCCACAGCCACGGCACCATGGTTCAGAAGGAGTGATAGTCCCAAAGATTGCCTTCCACACTGGGATAAATATCTTAGAGACAGGAAAGATTGGTCCTGGCCCACAGTTTCAAAGTTTCCATGCCCGCTGGGCCTCGTGGCTTCAGGCTTGTAGCAGCATCATGACGGGAGCACTTAGAACAGGGTGTTCAGCTCACGGCTGGGAAGCAAAGAGAGAGAAAGGATCAAGGACATACCCCCAGTGACTTAACCTCTCTGCTAGGCCCACCTCTTTTCCTCTTTCTGTGTCTCATGGTGTAGCCCAGGTTTACCTCACACTTGTGGCAATCCTCCTGCCTCAGCTTCTTGGGTACTGAGATTGCAAATATTGCACCACCACATCCTGCTGGTCCTGCCGCTAAAATGTTTTCCACTTCTCAATGGTGCCATAGGCTACAACCAAGCCTTTAACATACAAGTCTTGAAGGAAACACTTCAGACCCAACTGGGGAACAGACATAGAACAAACATCTGGATATCCTGGGGCTCAATCAAATCCACCAACTTGATGATATAACTGGATCACAAGAGCAGGAATGGCCCCGTGGTGACAAGCGTGGGGACAGACTGGGCTAACCTCAGGGACAAAGAGAACTCGCATACTTTTCTTTTTTCTCCCCCTTTGGTTGTTGGAAACAGGATTTCTCTGTGTAGCTCTGGCTGTCCTGGAAGTCACTCTGTAGACTAGGTTGGTCTCAAACTCACGATTTGCCTGCCTCTGCCTCCTGAGTACTGGGACTAAAGGCATGCACCACCACCACCCGGCTCTGGCTTGCTTCTCCTAATCATAAGGCTCCTTACGTCAAAACAGGTTAGAGGGAATCTACTTGTTTATTTATAGGTGTGGGGGAAAATTATTCACTGAGATGAGATAATGCTTTTTTGATACCTGTTGACTAAAACACAAAAGTCCCCTCTTTTCTAACACATCTACAAGCCAGACAGAGTGGCTCATGCCTCTAACCCCAGCACCCGTGACTCCTGGTGGCTATGGTGGTCACAACACCAGAAGAGGGATCCAACACCCTCTTCGGGCCTCTGAGAATACCAAGCAAGCATGTGATACAGACATACATGCAGGAAAACCATGACAAAATAAACTAAAATTCCAGTTTCCAGGGGACCCTGATGCCTTCTCTGGGCCTCCACAGGCACCCGGCATATATGTGGTACACAGGCATGCATGCAGGCAAAACACGCATACACATAAATCATAAGACAAACGGTGTTGTTTTTTTTGGGGGGGGGGTTGTTCTGTTTTCAAAACATGGATTCTCTATGTAGCCCTGGCTATCCTGGAACTCTGTAGATCAGGCTGGCCTTGAACTCAGAGATCTGCCTGCCTCTACCTCCTTGGTTTTTTCGATTGTTTGTTTTTTGGTTTTTCAAGACAGGGTTTCTCTGTAGCTTTGCAGCCTGTCCTGGAACTAGCTCTTGTAGACCAGGATGGAGTCAAACTCACAGAGATCCTCCTGCTCCTGCCTCCCAAGTTCTCGGATTAAAAGCGTGCGGCACCAGCGCCCGGCCACCCGGTTTGTTTTTAAGCCAGATTCAGTAACACACATTGCAGTCCCAGCGCTCCTACAGTGAGATGGAAGCCTGTAAGCTTGGGGGCCAGCTACCCTAGAATACACAGACGGATGAAAGATGTGAGACCCACACCTCAACAAAGTGGAAAGAGAATCAGCTTCCAAAAGTTGTACTCTGATCTCCATAAGTATTCTGTAACACATGTAACCAGCACACACATATATAGTGATACTTTTATTTGTTTTAATAAATAAATCTTGCCTGAAGACCAGAGGCAAAGCTAAAGCCGCTAGAGGTCAGGTAATGGTGACACACACCTTTAATCTCAGGATTTGGGAGACAGGGTTAGATGAATCTCTGTGAGTTCAAGGCCACCCTAGGCTACACAATATCCAAACAGAAACAAATCCAGGTGGGGTGGCTCACACCTTTAATCCCAGCTCTATAGGAAACATAAAATCGGAGGAGAGAGAGGTTTAGTCTGTTTAGACTGTAGTCACCCAATATAAGTAAGACTTCTCTAGTGGCTTGACTATTTTGCTTTTCTGTCTCTGGGTTTCTATTATTCGTGCTATACACATACACATCACATGCACACAGTAATACAAAAAAATAATTTTTTAAAAATGCCACCTATATTTGCAGTGGATGGCAGCTGCCCCAGATGGTCACTCGGAGCCCAGGCTCCAACTGCGGCTCTCCCACAGACCCTAGCTATCATCTCTATCTTGTCAGAAGAAAGGGAAAGAGAATCCTTGGAGGGGCGTGGCGCACTTCATTTTAGGTAATACAGCATTGGTAAGAACCAGTCACATGGTGACGCTGCAAAAGAGGTTGGGATACGTACTGTCCTTGCACGGGATTCTAACTCTCAATTCTGTGTCAGGCTTTTTTTTTTTTTTAAGATTTCTTTATTTTTACCTATAAACATGTATGTGAACTTCGTGCATGCCTGGCGCCCGTGGAGAGCAGAAGGTGGTGTCAGATACTCTGGAACTAGAGTGACAGATGGCCTTGAGGCACCACAGAGGTGCTGGGAACTGAACCTGGGTCCTTTGAAAGAGCAAGTGTTCTTAACTGCATAGTCAGCTCTGCAGCGCCCATATCACGGCTTTTTAATTTTGACACCACTGACGTGTTAGATTGCATAATTCCTCTTTATTTTTTATTTTATTTTAGAGAGAGGAGGGTGTACAGTGTAGAGTAAGATACTGAATAACACCTCTGGCTTCCATACATCTGAGGCCAATAGTACCCCAGCCCCAGTAAAAAATGTATTGTCAACTGGGCAAGACGCCACATACCTTTAATCCCAGCACTGAGGAGACAGAAGCAGGTGGATTTCTGCGAGTTCATAGCCAGCCTGGTCTACATAGTGAGTTCCAGGACAGCCAGGGCTACATCGAGAGACCCTATTTCAAAAAAGAAGTCGTCTCTCCACACAGATATCATAGCAACACACATAAATAAATGGAATGACGTTTCAATGTCTCTAAGTATTAGAAAATGTAACTGGAGTTACAGAAGGCTGTGAGTCACACTGGGCTCTGGGGACAGAACTGTGGTCTCTGCAAGAGCATCAGGAGCTCTAACAGCTGAGCCAACTCTCCAGCCCCACACCTGATGGTTACAACCCCGTGTCCACTCTTCTCTACAAACAGGGCAAAAACTCCAGCTTTATGACTTTTCCACTTGCTATTAATGAGTTTGGAAACCTTGGGCACCCACTCCCCCCCAACACAACTAAGGACAATTGCTCTAGATAAGAAACGGTCAGGATATCTGTCAGCTAGATATGAAATGTAATTAAATAGCACGCTTGGTTTCTTTATCACTTACAAAGCTCAGGGGATGGCTGGTAGATTTTGCTCACAAAATGACTGACGGAACAGCGGAGGTGCTGAGGAAGATCCAGAGAGTGCCTGAGGTTTCCTAGACTCCGGAAATAACGGCACTGCCTCCTTTGCAATTTAGTGTGACCATGTGACAACCACGGAAGTGACCTGAAGGGATGTGTGCCACTCCTGGCTAAGGTTTCTAAGATTTCTCTTCCCCTGTGACTGGAACTAAGCCGCCTTTGTTTGCTTATTTTGTGAAGCTAACTGTTGCAGAGTCCCTGACATTTCTTCACAGAGATAAGGGTTTTTTGGGGTTTTTTTTTGTTTTTGTTTTTTTAATAATTTGCCTAATGCAAGACAATATTGGTCAGCACCCGGGCAATTCTTGTTCTTCGAGGGTGATGAAATGGATTCTCAGGGAGGACAGTATTTCCAGGAAATGCACTTCTCAGGAAGTAGTAAGAGCCAGCCAAGTCTTGGGGTGCCAACAGTTTGCTTTACTTCCTAGACTCTACGAGCGGTGTGTTGCTTTCCTACACAGCTTTCCTGGCTGGAGCTGATGGAGGATTCCTTCACACTCCGTGGAAAGCGTGGACACAGGTGTCTGGGTTTGCTTTGGAGTCCCAGTGAACTCCAGATTTGCAGAAGGCTACCAATATGAAGTATGAGTCTCTGTACTCAGAAAAAAAAATACAAGGATCTAGACACTAAGTAAAGGTGGTTATTGGAAACAACTTGATTGTGAGAAAATGTTAACAACAAAGATGAATTTGAGACACAACTGAGAAAAAATAATCCAGCTGCTGCGGTTTCTGAGATAAGGATCCACATGTCAGTCCTGGAATGTCCCTGCTGAGTGGAGCAGTTTGGATCTGAATAAGAGAATTTTTAAAAGATTGTTGTTTTTAATTATGTGTCTGGGTGCAGGTTTGTGTGCACAAGTGCAGTTCCTACAGAGGCCAGAGGAGGGCATCCAATTCCCGGGAACTGGAGTTACAGGTGTCTGTGAGCCACCATGTTCTTTTCAGGGGGCCTAGGCAAGAACAAGTGCTCTTAACTGCTGAGCCTTTGCCCCACATGCATAAATCTCTATAAACAGACCTAAAAACACCCGTCTTTATTACTTTCTTGTTTGGTTTTCCGAGACAAGGTTTCTCTGAGTAACAGCCTTGGCTACCCTGGAACTCTCAGAGAGCACCTGCCTCTGCCTCCCAAATGCTGGCCTCCCTGCCTCTCTGTACATTTTTACAAGACTAAAGATAAAAGAAAATCATTTATATTACAAAGTATTATGAATCTGCTCACTAATTAATTTTGATTGGTCTTTTGCTGTGTCCTGTCATATTTTTTTACAATTTAAAATTTTTTTCACCATGCATGACTAGATGACATTTTTGTGTAGACGCTTGTCAGCTGACTTAGGTTAACACCGTCTTACAGCTGTTGTGAATTAGTTGTGGGCTTTTTGTTTGTTTGGGGTTTTGATGTTGTTGTTGTTTGTTTGTTTGTTTAGAGACAGGGTCTCACTATAGAGCTCTGGCTGTCCCGGAACTCTATGTAGACCAGGCCTCAAATGCACAGAGATCCACCTGTCTCTGTCTCCGGAGAGCTGAAACTGAAGGTGTATGCCACTATGCCTGGCAAGCTCTGTTGTTTAACCTACCAAAACTGTGGTACTTTGTTACAGCTCTGACCCCAAACAACAACCCAAGAGACACAGTAAGAATTAGAGACACTCAAGAGAAAAGGAAATAGGCAGGTTATGAAGGGGTAGTCAGCTCTCAGGTTGGCTTAGCGCGTGCCACGGTAACAAGCCCACAGGACGGGTGGTAGAAGAACAGGAATTTATCCCTTCAGTTCTGAAGGATGAAAGCTAAAGGCTGTCATGTGGAGTTCTAGTAAGGATTCTTCTCAGCTTCTAGCAGCTTCCTCCTCGCTATGTTTGAAATGGCCTTTCCTTGGGGACATGAAGGGACACAGCAAGCTCTATGGTCTCAAGAGCTCAAACCTCTAGACTTCATCTATAGCTAATTACTTTCCAAAAGCCAGTCCCTAAATAGCATCACAGTGGGGGCTAAAGCTTTGGCGTGTGACCGCTGTGGATGCAATTCAGTCCACAGCATTCCATTCCAGGTCCACAAAGTTTCTTTCTTCTTCTTTTTTTTTTTTAAACGAGCATACAGGGGCTGAAGATATTAATTGCTCAGCAATTCAGAGCACTATTGCTCTTCCAGAAGACCCAGGTTTGACCCCCAGCACCCACACAGCAGCTCACAACAGTCTGTAACTCCAGTTCTAGCGACCCACGCCACTGACCTGCAAGGCACCTGCACACATGTGCACACACCCACCTGCAGGCACGCACACCTTCATATAATTTAAATTAAAGTAGCTGGGCAGTGGTGGCACACACCTTTAATCCCAACACTCAGGAGGCAGAAGTAAGTGGATCTCTGCGAGATCAAGGCCAGCCTGGTCTACAAAGTAAGTTCCAGGACAGTCAGAGTGGTTACACAGAGAAACCCAAACAAGCAAACAAAAGAAAAATCAAATAGTTAAAATTAAAAATATTTTCTATTTTAAAAAAGAATCAGAGCAGTGCTCTTCACAAGAGCGAAAACACACGAACAAACTGAGCAGCACCAGCGACAGAGGGGAGAAACGGGCAAGGTAAACGCGTGCAATGGGCCCTTATGCAAAGCAAGGGGTCCACGCTGACACACCGCAATGCAGAGCTCTACTGATACACCAGCGCATGCAAAGTTGCCCCACAAAAAAAAAAAATCATACAGCAAAACAGAATTTTTGTTTTTGTTTTTCGAGACAGGGTTTCTCGGTGCAACAGTGTGTCCTAAACTTGCTTTGTAGACCAGGCTGGCCTCAAACTCACTAAGATTCGCCTGCCTCTGCCACCCAAGTGCTGGAACTAAAGATGTGCGCCACCACTGCCAGGCGCAAGATGAATTTTTATAAAGTTAAAATTAACCCAAAGCAAGAATAGATACCCTCTAGAAGCACACAGAATGCAACTGCCGGAAGGATGGAGAAACCACTGGGTCGGGGCACAGGCTCCCCCATCCCAGAGGTTCAAGGTCTACCTGAGCCACAGAGGAGGTCAAGGCCAGTCTGAGCAATTTAGGAAAAACACCACCTCAAAATAAAAGTGTACATAGGAGTCTGGAGCTATAACTCAGGGGTAGAGCACCTTCCCAGAAAGCACTGGGCCCTAGGCTCAACCAAGCCCCATAAACGAACAACCAAATAGAAATGGGGAAGGGATAAAAGGAGATAAAGCGAGATTAGATGAGTCTCTTCAGCTGGGAATGCGTGAAGTTTTCCCCTTGGGTAAATCTAAAATAACATACAAGGGAAAAAGCAAAGATTGATAAATGCCGGATTCAGGGTGTGGGTTACTCAAGCAGCAGGAGGCAGAGACACCCACAATTCCATGTCAGCTCCTGTCAAGTATTAGCTAACTTTCTGTTACAATCAAAAAATACCTTGTTAATCAACTTACAAAAATGAATGGGTTTTGGCGTGGGGGGGGGGGCTCATAATTTTGGAGACTGAGATCCCAGCCCATGGTCCATGGCACCACTGATTTCTGCATTTATTTTACGTGTGTGGGTGTTTTGCCTGCATGTGTATCTGTGCACTACTTGGTGCCCTCAGAAGCCAGGAGAGGGTATCAGGTCCCTTGGGACTGGAGTTATAGACAATTGTGAGCAGCCATGTGGATGCTGGAGATCAAACTGGGATCCTCTATAAGAGCATTCAGTGCTCTGAACCACTGAGCCATCGCTCCAGCCCCTCCATGGCTTTGGAGTCTGTGACAAGGCAGCACATCACGGCAGGAGTAGAGGCAGCTGCTTGTGGCAGCTGGGAAATGAAAGAAAGCAGTTTTTTAAAGGCATGGAGAGGGGAATCCTTCAAGGGCATGCCCACTATGACCTAATACTTCCCAGCAGGCCTCGCCGATTACAGGGTCCACCACCTCCCAAGAGAGCCAAGCCTGGGACGAAGCCTTTAGCAGACATCCCAGGTCCAAATGATACCATCCCATATTTGCCGTGGCTCAGTTTTGTTTTGGAGGGTGAGTTTGTGAGTTCCTATTATAGAACAAACTAAATAACTAGATTAAAGCAGGCCATGCGTGGAACAATGAAAAACTAATTAGCAGAAGGAAAAGCATGAAATAATTGTCCACAGCCCCTGGATGTGTGCCTCTGGCTCTGTGCAGAGACAGCACAGACCGGAGACGTGGCTGCTGGCTCTCCTGTCCTTCCCTGTCCTCCCTGGAAGACCACTTCTTTCATCAGCATCTCTGACCATCTGGCTGTAGACTGACCAGCCCAAGTCTGAGTGAGGTATTCTCAGACTTCTAGATTTCTGATTAAAAGAGGCGCTGGATGCTTAGGATGTCACACAAGTAGTTGGTTTGGACTACCCAAACTTCGGCCAACCAAGAAAGGTTTACATCTGTCCCTGGCATATGCGTTTGTTTAGGAATTGTGGTGGTTAATGCTGACCGTCAACTTGCCAGCATCTAAACTCACCTAGGAGACAAAGCTCTGGGTGCGTCTGAGAAAGTTTCTAGACTGGGTTAACACAGAGGTTGGAAGATCCATACTAAATGTGAGTGAAACCAATCCACGGGCAGAAGGCGTAGACTGAATAAAAAAGAAAGGAAATAATGTCTGTTGGACAGCAGCGGCACATCTTCAATCCCGGTACCCAGAAGGCAGAGGCAGGCGGATCTCTAAATCAAGGCCAGCCTGGTCTAAAGAGAGAATTCCAGGACATTCGGGGCTGCACAGAAAAACCCTGTCTCAAAAAGAAAAAAAAAAGTATTTTTAGATAGGGTCTCTCTGTTATGCAGCACTGGCTGGCCTAGAACTCGGAAGAGACTGGCCTGCCTTTGCCTCTGCCTCCCGAGTGTGGGATTAAGGACATATACTGTCACACCCAGCCAAAACTCTAAGGAAAATAAATAAATAAAAGACAAAGAAATCAAGTGAAATACCAATGTCTATCTGCTTCCTGACTACAGATGGGACGTGACCTTACGCTCAAACGACTTTTCTGCCATAATAGACCGTGAACCAAAATGATCCCTTCCTTCATTAAATTGCTTGTGCCAGGCACCATGTCACAGCAAGGAGAAAAACAACAAACACCGAAGCATTACAGCATTTTACCTACCGAAAGAAGGTGCCGGAAATGTGATAGAGAAATGACTGGGCAACTGTGAACAGACACCCCAGAAAGGTCATAACTGGATTACCATGGACACCCTAGAAAAGAGACAAGACTTCCTCTGGAGAGAAAATGGACCTGTCAAAGAAGAAAAGTTCAACACTTGTAAAAGCAGCACAAAGAAAGCCTTATTCAAGATCACGTCCCCAAACTGGAGAGCAGCATAACAGACTTTCAGTGCGGAGAGGGAGCTCAACCCCGAGGAGCGCACAGACGGCGAGGGTAAGGGCCAGCGGATGGAAAATTACCGAGAGGAAACAGGAAAAGTAAGAGGGAGTCTGGCTAAACTGACCTGACAGGATTCTTACTGAAGACAAGCCAGCATGAACAAGCACCACCTGGGACTTGGTGCAAAATAAAAAAGACTGATCGTAGGCGCAATCACATAATGAAGACAGAGGGTTCTGGACAAACGACCTTGGCAGAGTTCTTGGCTAAAACTGGATCCTACCAGGAAATACACAGATAGACCTGGGAGAGAGTTCAAACTAAAGAGACGGGCTAACATTTGATCAGGCAGAAGATCGTTGACAAGAGAATAGAACCTCTGTTGTACAGAGGCGGAGGGACTGATGTCCACTGAAGGTCGGTCCTAAAGTCCTCTCAGCCCAGAAAGGACCGTGAGACTGAAGAGACAAGCTCGCACTTCTCCCACAGGCCAGCTCCCTAGCACTAGTGTGGTCCCTGATCTGAACTGACGGGCAGCCTAAGCATCTACGACTCCTCAGTGCTTGTGCCCTCAGTGACTCGGCACCACTGTGACCAGGCCAGCCAGAAACAACCGGAGCGGGGCAGGTTTGCTTTGGTTCACAGTTACAGGGGTCTCAGGGCCTCATGGAAGGGAAGGCAGGCAGACAGGTAACGTGGCAGTAACAGCACATGGAGGAAGCTCAGGATCCTCATGTTTAACTTGACTGGATTCAGAATCACCTAGGAACACATTTCTGGGCAGCACCATCCCATGGGCTGGAGTCCTGGACAGAGTAAAAAGGAAGAAATAACAACAAAACATGTGGGCTGGGCATCAGCACCCCCCCCTCCTTCCTGAAGGCTGACACAACGTGACCAGCCACCTCACAAGTCAATCATCACGCCTCTCCTCCTCAAACTGATTCGAAATAAACCCTCTCCCCTGAAGTTGCCTTTGTCAGGAAATCTCTCGCCAGCAACAAGAAACTAATACACAGCTGTTGGAAGCATGGCGGATTAGGAAGCAGCGTTTCATTCAACAGCTTATTGAGCTCTCCCAGTGTTTCAGGCCCGGCTCTGAGCAAGCTCTGGACCAGGGCCACCACTGATGACAGCTCTGTTATTACGACAGCATCTGGTACAAGCAGAGGGACTTCAGGAGGTTCAAGAGGAACACCGAAGCTTGGCTAGGAGGAGGCAAAGGAGTCCTGGAAGCCATCCCAGAGAAAACGTCACCAAGAGAAGTCTCAAAGCTAAAGAGGGATTAGCTGGTGAGGGGATGAAGGATGTTTGAGGAAGAGGACCCTGTGCAAACAGAAGCACCAGAGATGCCACTGTTCCCAATGTAGTGGTCACCTAAAGGTGGACATGGAGGTCTCACGTGAAGGAGGTGACACCTGATTCTTGGGGGATGGCTGGGTGAAGAAGGAAAAGGACATTCCAGAAAGATAACGCAATACACACAAAGATGGAGAGGCACCTTGGAAGATGCATGAGTGACAAAAATAGTCAAGGAAAGGGTACAACAGCTCCTCAGGGTGACCAACGTCACTCTTAATGGCTTCAAGTGACGGTGACAGGAAACCCAGAAGACAGGAAAGCACTAGCCTTTGAATCTTAAATGCCCCCAAAGGTCTCTAGTGTGGCACTATTTGAAGGCAGTGGAAACATTAAGAGGTGGGCCATAGTGGGAAATCTTAGGGTCGCTGAGGTCGCCGCCAGTGAATGAACTGTAAGGCTCTGACTAATCCCTCTTTCACATGCCAGACATACAGGGAACAGTTTTGTCCCTCCGTGTGTGCCCCACCAGTGCTACCACGCACCAGAACTGGGACCTAAAAGCTCCGAGTCTCCTGACTGTGGACTGAAAACCTCTAAAATTATGAACTTGCTGGATGTGTTGATTCACACCTATAATCCCAGCATTTATGCAGCTAAGGCAGAAGGATGGTAAATTTGAATTCAGCCAGAGCTACGTAGTAAGACACTGTCTGGAAGGAAGAAAAGATGCATTTTAAAATAAAAACAGGAGCTAGAGAGATGCTCAGAAGCTGAGTGCACACTGCTTTTGCAAAGGACACAAGCTTAGTTCCCAGCACCCACCTCGGTGGCTCATAACCACCTTTAACTCTAGACGCAGGAACCCTGATGCCCTCTTCTGGCCTCCAAGGGCAACTGCATTTGGGTGCATATACCTATAAACAAAAACATACATACACAATTAAAAATAAAATAAACTTTTCCCATTTTTTGATTTTTGGAGACAGGGTTTTCTCTGTGTAACAGCTCTGGCTGTCCAAGAACTCATGTGAAATAGGCTGGCTTCAAACGCACAGAGATCTGCCTGCCTCTGCTTCTCAAGTGCAGGGATTAAAGGTGTGTGCCACCACCACCTGGCAAAATAAATCTTTTCTGATAAGACAAAAATAAATAAAATCATGAGTCAAGATAAATCTTTTTTCTTTGTAAGTTGAATCTCAGGTACTTGCTATAGTAAGGAAAAGCTGACTAACACAGAGAAGAAGAGAAAGAATAGGGTCAAAGGGCAGATCCTCCACGAAGGCAGTAGCTATCTATCAGACAGGGATGCATTCTACAAGGAAGACCAACGGTATGAAGGATGACAACACAGGCTTCCAGACAGACCTCAGTTTGACTCTCCAGCTCTGCCCCTCACTATCTGGGTGACCTTGGGCAACATTTAACTAGGCTAAGACCCCATTCTTTCACCTGGGAAATCAGGACGCACAAACAAAGCAAACCTCACAACTGCAGAAAGGATGAAGGGCCATAATATATGCAAATAACACAACCCAAAACACAGCCTGTGTAGAACCACAGACTTTCAGGGCAGCAGAGGGGAGCTGCCGACCTTGGTGTTGGTGCGAGCAGATTTGGTTAGTTAGGTGCAGGTACTGAAGGAGCCGATCAAATGCACACTCACTTCAGGGTCTCTGGCCTGTTCCTGAGAGCGAGCAGAGACAGGAGTGCTCCACATGAACAACAGGCCTGGGAGAGGACACGGTCACTGGGAGAAGGTGAAGGGCCCGCTGTTGAAAGACAGTTCTCCAGGAGCCCGGCCCTCTCTCGCTTCTTGTGAATGGACAGACTCTGCCTCTTCCCCCCCCACCCCCCCCCCCCGGAGCCTCTTCTCAGGGCTGTGTTTATAAGAAGCAACCTTGAAGGATAGAGCACTACCTCCCTCTAGGATGAGAGCAGTCTTATGTGCGGCTTCCTTTATAAGCAGTAGGTCATCCGTTCCGTCCCCCCTCTCAAGCTTCATGTTTCTCAGCTACGACACAAACCATCTGCACATGAAGCATCCATCTGGGCCCATCACACTGCCCCTGCAGGACTCGGAGGCAAGAAGAACTTATGTGAACATGCTAATGCTCCTGTTACTTACTCTGCCCGAGCAGGAAAGTCCTAGGTCTCTAACCTCAGAGTCTCGTGTCTTCTATCAATAACCATGAACCAATGGCGAGCTCAGTTATTAGCTTATAAACTAGAAAGAACCGGAGCCATCCGTGTGTGCCTGGTGTGAAAGCCATGAGAATAAACAGCAAAGCCTACAGTGAGGATTCATGCGTTACCTGTGTGTGCCAACACGTAAGACGGGGGTGAGAAAGAGGGCTCCAAAAGACTCAAGGAAACACACACGAGGCTCTGGGTTCCGTCTCCAGCACTGCAGGAGGAAACCCACAAAGTAGCTCCTTTTCAGTCTTTCCCTATAGCTCCAGCTGTTCCAGAGTTCACTGTGTAGCCTCAAACTTGCTATCCTCCTGCCTCAGCATCCCAAGTGCTGGCATTACCATCATCCCAGACTAGAAAGAAGCTTCGACCAAAACTGAGTAGGCAACAGGATCAGATGCTGCGTCTTCCTAAGACGAAGGCTGAAAGTAGCCACTGAATTTAGCAACTAGGTCACTAGGCAAGACACATTTCAATGATGCGCTGTGGCCAGAAGCCAAACGGTAGTGGAAGGAGAATGGATGGAGGTAAAGAAGTTGGAACGATAAATACGAGGCGTTTCACAAAAGCGTGGCTGAAATGGAAGGCAGGAGAGAGAGCCCTGATGGCGGGAGCAGGTGGGGGCCCACTCAACTTGTCTCAACAAATGGAGGAGGTCTGAATGATCATTGCTGAGAACAAGCCCAGAAACAGAAAAACTGGGAAGAAAAAAAAAAAAAAAAAACAGGAGGAGGATGGGTTCAGAGAAAGAATGACCTCAAATCCTGGGTGAGACTGCATCTGCCCCATTCATACATCCTCCAGCAGGTCAAACTGCTGGCTCAAGGGAGGGTCTGTCTCCAGGGAGGTGGTATCTACTCTCTCCTGAAAGGGGACCCACCAACAGGGGTCCGTCATGGCTACTTTCCTGCATGGTCAGGCAGGCCAGAGATGAGACACAGGGGTACAAACATGACTCTCAAGACACCAATAGAAGCACAAGTAGTTTGGAATGCTATGCTAAGCTGTGAAGCCGAGTAGTGTTCTCAAAGAACATCGGAGAGTGGGCTGTGCAAAAGGAATTTGGGGAGACTCAGGACCTCCTCAAGACACTCGGGGTTGGCAGAGAAGACACCTCTGGGAGGAAGGAAAAGAATTCTTCTCACTACGACACATCCCCTTGGAGTTCATCTTCTGGTAAGAGTCTCTGCTTGGCCAAACTTGTCAGGCTCCATCACGTACATCCTTGTGTAATCCAGTTTCTGTAAAGCGCTTTCTCCAGTTGGTTCAGGAAGAGCTCGGGACGGCTGATCACCTTCAACGTCTGATGACATTTTCATCCTCTCCCAGCCTGCAGGGGACGTTGACTCACTGTCTTCAGCGATTCTGTTCGGCCAGTTTGGCCAGGGTTCCCTGACACGTTGGGCTTCCATTTAGGCATTTTCCATCCATCAACACCCACCCGGCTGTTTCACTGTAAACTCAGAACCAAGTTAGGTCTCTCTCCCCTAGTGCCAAGCCCTGAGGATGGTCCTAGCTAACAGGTGTCATTACAAAATTTCTCCACGGGACTGACTGAGAGACGGCTCAGTTAGTAAATGTGCTTGCAAGCAGGATCTGAGTTTGATATCCATAACCTATTTTTTTTTAGAAGAACTAAATTTTTAATTGATTTAAATTTAGCTGGGCGGTGGTGGCCCATGGCTTTAAACCCAGCACTTGGCAGGGAGGCGTTGTCAAAGGCAGGTGGATCTCTGAATTCAAGGCCAGCCTGGTCTGCAGAGTGAGTTCCAGGACAGCCAGAGCTACACAGAGAAACCCTGTCTCTAAAAATCCAAACATAAATTAATTAATTTTAGATTTAATTGAAAAATAAAAATGCCCCACACCTTTATTCCCAGCACCTAGGAGGCAGAGTCAGGTGGATCTATGAGTTCAAGGCCAGCCTGATATACGGAGCAAGGTCTAGGTTAGTCAGGGACACAGGACCTGTTTTTTTTTTTAAAAAAAATCAAGTGCGGTAGCGTTCATCTAACAATCCTAGGCTAGGAAGGAGGAAGATGGGTGGATTCCTGTGGCTCATTGACCAACCAGCTAGCCTCCTTAGGGAGCTCAGACCAGTGAGAAACCTTGTCAAAAACAAAAAACAAACAAAACAAAACAAACAAAAAAAAAACGAGGGGGAGAGAGAGAGAGGCTTTCCTGATATGGCTCACCAGGTGGTGACTTCAGCCCTCTCGCCTAAAGCGGACCTGAAGAAACCAGAGCTAACAAAACAGCTGCCCCTCCTACAGCTAAGATCAGGGCAGCCACAGGCCTTCCAGTGTGCCTTATCCAAGCACCATGGGTTCCCAGGGAGTTGGCAGATGAACCCCGAGAAGAAAGCAACAGGAACGTACAACTAGAAGCCACATTTCCGCTTTGTGGGAGCAGGGCGACCTAAAGGACTCCTCTCAGCAGAGAGAAAACAAGAATGCAGAGTTCCTAAAAAACAGTTCGGAGGATCCGGGTCTGAATCCGTGCACCAGCCGCCATCACCGACCCGCACGCACCCTAAAAGCCACAGGGGCTCCAAGGAGTGAACATCGGAACCACCCAAGATGCTAGCTAAATGCACATTTCCAGGCCCAGAGAAGAGACTCATTCAGTGGGCGCCGAGCCAGGCCTGCGATGCTGCTCTTCCAGCCAGCACCTCGGACAACCCGAGTACTGGTTTCCTGCGGAGCCCACTCGGAGAAACCAGACTCTGGGGCGAACAGGGTCTCCAAGTTCCAAAGTTTCCCCCTCTCGCTCGGCGCACCGACCTCCTCCCACCACCACCACCACCCCGGGGCCTCACCCGCACGCGCGGTCACGAAAGCGTCGGGGAACTCAGTGATGGGCTCAACGGCCTTTGCCAGGGCGCCGCGGGCCCCTAAAAGCGCAGCACGGTGGCCGGCAGGGGGCGCTGCAGCAGGGACAATGCAGGGCGGGGGCGCCGGGC